GTTTGACCATTCAGCTTCCGGTTATCCATTCATAGTTTGATCGTTTGATCTAAACCGCTAAAAGTCCTCTTTGAAACGGTCCTGGAGCTTGTCTCTGTTGAAGGATGTGATGCGCTAGTCCGCTCCCCAGTTCCAGAATATGTTCAAGTAGCTGGAAGTGGAATTTTATCCGTTGAATCTGTGCATGCGCATCCAAGGTATCATCGAATAAATCACCGCTTGATGTCCACTTGCGTTTGGAGAAAAAGTTTCAAAAGCCTTAAATTATCGGTATCATCAATTTGCGTCCCTATTGATATTGTAGGTCCATTCAGATCATTGATACGCGATTTTGACGACCGAAATTCAGCTCTTATTGACCTCAGCACACAGAAGGGCAACGGAGCCATGCGTTGGCGGCTATCCCAAGACCAAGCCAACATTTTTTTCGGAAGCTCTGACTGAATAAGTGATTACCTGATAGTATAGTATAGTATATACTATATTGGTGATTGCCGATCCGAATATACCTCGGAACTCTTGGTCAGCAACAGTCTTCTGTTTTCAATTAATATGCAAGCGCAGTTTCAATCCTACTCATGTACGACACATGATAATCGTTGAACCAGCTAGGTAATTTGGTTAGGCTGTCGTCGTTGTTCATGCAAATCGGGAAAGCCTTTAGAATGTTTGCATGTACATATTCTAAATTCAATGAAATTCGCATCCTCTAAAAGGGGCAAATATTCCATACAACATTCTTCATTTCTTAAAGGTAGGCCCGGTATTCTACAAAGATCCTTAGATGTATGTATGTATGTAAGGTAGCCACCATCCCTTCGAAGATCTTGTCTTGTATGCAGCTCCACTTAATAGCAAGATCAATTTGAGCTACCGATCTGAATTCACAATATCGCTGTATGAAGGGCCAAAAACGGTGGGGTGGACCCGTAAGCAGAGACACTTACGCGAAATCCACGAGAATTTAAGAATCTCCTTCCAACGATACGATCCAACAAATCGAATAACGCAATTCGCAATACTTATTAAGCTTCCTACAGGATGGTTTGTTAAGAAGGGCGCGTCAATCTCACTGAAACTGTTGGAGTAGAATTCACACCATCACAATCGAATCGGTAGGATAAAGAAAATGATAGTGTTTATTCCCTCCTAGACTCCGGTTGTCATACCACTCCAATCGTCCAGTTTCAGGTCAAATGATACCCTGATGCTCCCTCCCAACCCAGTATTTATTTATATTTATATTTATATAGTAAACATATGTAATGGAGAAATGAGATATATCAGAACATTAAAATACGTATTAATGAAAATACATTTATATGGATAAAAAACTGGTATTCCGCAATGAAAATAATAATTATTTTACATACAATATGATGCAGCCACAGACAAACAGACGTAACTCTTCATTGTGTGTCTTCGTTCATGCATTTAACGGAAGATTTGAATATTATCAGTTCCGCAAACTACTAGCCGCAGCGCTGGCATCGGATCACTTTGACGTTTCCATACATTCGATAGAACTTTTATGCAATATTGTTTACGAGTTAGCGAGCAAGCTTGTTTTCCGCGAGAAGCCAGAGAGATGTCGTTACTGAGGTTATATGTTTTGAGATACTATGTTTTCAAGAACAAGTTTTTCAAAGAGTTACGTCTGTTTGTCTGTGATGCAGCTCTATGTCTCCTCAGCTCCCAATAAGGAAGATGTAACCCTGAAATTTCCAACAAAAAACACAGAAACAGAGATGTTGTTAGTAAGTTGGGTTCGTTGGATCAGGATTCACCTTGATAAGTGATGCGACCATGGTTTTAAATGAATCAGTGTTATCATGCATTATACTTGGATTTGCCCGAAGCCAAAACCAAATGGTGTCTCATTGGGCCTTATTACGGGTGTCACTACACGGTGATAAGAAAGTGATACTCAGAATAAGAGCCGTGATTACCGTACAAATCAAATGGGAATCACTTCACCGTGACGACAAGTGACAACTTTTCACCGTTATGTGACATCCGTAATAAGCCCCATTATAATATAAATCTGAAGACGTTCCATCATCGAAATGCTGAAAATGAACTTAGAGCATGAGCATGAGCAAAATTGATCGCCCGCGACTGCCAACACCAAAGAGCTGAAAACCAATTCAAACAAATCAAATCAACAGACAAAACCAGGGTGAAAGCTGTAAGAGTGAATCATTACAGTATAAATCTAGTGATGTTCCGTCATCAAAGAGCTGGAAGAAAACTCAAATAATTTAAATCAATAGATCCAGTCTGAATGAAGGCTGCAAAAAGAGAATAATTATACAGCAATGACCCCATTTTGTCAGCTAGCAAAGTATGTGTATCTTAAACATTCATCTTGAAGGAGGAAGGTATGAAATTACAATTATGTGGAATTATTGAAAAATAACAGTCTGATGCGCGGAGAGATTGACAGGATCGGGTCATAACTGTAATGTGAATATTATGAAGATTTATCATCATCAAACTATTCTTGAATTGACCTGGAAGAATGCTTGTGAATAATTGTTATACAGATAAATTAAATTGATAAACTAAATGGTTCAAACAACAACTCCCGCCTGTAAAAAAGCTGAAAATAGGGAATCTTTACAATGTGGATCCCCGATGGTCTTCTACTCAGTAAGCAAAAGCGGCAGCCACCAGGCTAGTCGATCTGCTCAATTTAAATATTGAAACCTTATTTTGTGAAGTTCTTAAGAATACCAATTGAAACACAATGTAAACAAATAAAAGTTAAGAGTCTCATCCGAATCAAATGATTCCAAACGATACGCATTCATAGAAATTCAGTTTAAATAGACAAAAGTAGAAAAATGGAACAATCTCACCAAATCAGTCCAACTGAATCCCTTGCAAGCAGCTATGTCACGCTTGGTGTAGTAGCTCCGAGCATAGACCCGCCCTACGGGGATCAATCCTCTGGTCGAATGTAGTCGATTGCTCCATGACGCGAACACGAAGCGACCGCTCACAAAATCATACAACGCGTAAACAAACTGAAATCAAAAACTATCACACGCGACGCCACAAATTTCTGTACCGGGAGCACAAGCGAAGAAAAAAACAAACAACGCAGATAGCGACACTTCTTCTGATGCCTGCAAACATGATGCATCACGTTTTCTTTTTCGATTCCAAAACTTCTCGGAAAGCGAGAAAACCACCAATCACACACGTATAACCGTCCGGGAGGCAGAGTGCCAGCGCTAATCTGGCAAAATCAGCGAACGCACGCACAAAACAGAAATAAACTTATACACAACCGTATCCGAACAGGTTCGAAGCTGAACTGTGAGGCCCGGTATTCTACAAAGATCCTTAGATCCTAAGATAACTCAAAAGCTTATCCGCAGGCCCTAAGTGCCGTAGAACTAAAACTAGAACTGACAAAGAACCTATAATGAACTCACACCGTGCCCCCATCATATTGAAACTACGTCCCAACCGTTTATAAATTATTCACTAGTACCGCATTCCACACACAGCACCAGCTTTCAGCTTGCTCGAGTCCATTGAATAGCAAATCCCTCTGCTCTAATCTGCTAGCTAGCTGCAACGCCGCGCTTGTTGCATAAATCAACTTCCCTGTTCTAGGTCAAGGTTCTGCGTTCCCGAAAATCACCGCATTATGCCACTTCCGGACAAATCGCACAATCACCAAACACCTCGCCTGCTCCCAGTCGGTGAGACCGATTTTTCGAAACTCAATCCAAATGATAACGACAAAGACAATTTTTTTTTCGCAATGCACCAACACCGATACATGTTATGTATGGCGAGACACTACTTGTGCTTCACCCATAGGTGCGATGACTCACAATCTTCCAATTCAACCGAGACACTCTGTTTGTTGTCCAACATTTCATTTCCTTCGAACGATCCACAACCACTCTCACATACAACCAAAGGTGAGTGATGCAAGCAGCAAGCGTGGTGCGTATTCTTTCGTTATCAATCTTCCCTAACCCCATGTTGTGTAGCTCCTTGATTTGATTGAAGTTAAATTGAATTGACTTTAATCTCTCGGTCAGTCAAGCAACAAAGGCTTCATCCGCAATCTGTGTAGATGTGAAAGGTTGAACAATGATCACATATCCCCTTGCACTTTGCCCATATTCCCGCTAGTTGTGGATCCTGCCGTGTTTCATCCAACCTATCGTGGGCAACATTGCACGGCCCTATACGCAAGTCGAAGTTTGTATTTATTTGCATTCTCAAGAAAGCTTAATTTGACGAAGCCTTTCAAGTGATAAGGAATCATGCATACATGTGGCTTTGAGCTTTATAGTTGTTTTTTTTTCTCAAAGGTTGATTAAAATATGCCGTTCAGTTTGGGGCAAATATTTGCGAATCTCGTGCGGCTTACCTCATCGCGCGAGTAAGCATCGCAGCAGTATAAAACAAAAAGAAAAAAACTTCAACACAACGACGACGACGACGACGACGACCAGATGTAATCACGGCACGATGCCCCTTCTCTTGGGAGTTTCTGCAAACTCACCAGGTATATCGCACTACCTACCTTTCTTTATGGTGCTGCTGCTGCTCTAATGGCAGAGCAGAGCACACAACTTTTGCGCAATTTGGAATGCAATCAACTCCTGAGAGAGCCTATCATGAATTACTATAATAGTGTTCGATTTTCTCGTGGCATAGAATAGGCAAAATAGGTACATAGAGCAAGTAAATACGCGAGGAAAGTACTTTGAACCCTGACTTTTCTGCACTGTACAACAAACACGGCGAAAAATCATTCCATGTTCCAAAATACGTATAATTTCCGGAAACCATACAAAAAGGTGCTATCAAAGTAGTAAATTTCCACCGTGCCCCTTATTCGTCACCGCCAGCAACCGCCTACAGATCTATAGGTACCTAATGACGAAACGAAACCGAATCGTGTCACGCAAAAACATTCATCATTTTTTCACTCTGTCCGCTCATGAAGAATTCAACCAATCACTTACCACCCTTGTGCACTCCGCAATCTGCGATATAGATTCCAATCGCCACTCGGGTTTCCTCCAAGGAGCAGGATATATTTTTTTTTTGTTAGCCAACAAATCACGCGAAGATCTATAATCCACAATATCCGTTTTCCGATTTCTTTTTATGTGTCGCTACTGATCGAACTGTACCGTACGATTTCAATGTAGATAGGTTCCTGGATTTATTACCACCAGTAGCAGCAGCTGTGCGATATACGAGCTGGCGTTCCGTTCCGATGGAGCGATTTTGATGTTTTGATGTGCTGCAAGTTTTCGCAGAAGCTCGGCTCTCTTGACTTTGATGATGGAATTGAGAACTGTCAAAGCGAATTTGCGTGGCGGTGACGGCGACCAGCTGATGATGATTGAGAACGAAAACAAACGTCTGCGGGAAGCATGAAGTAGTGTTGCCAGAATCTGGCCTGATTGTGTGCAGTTTCAGAATGGTGTACCAAAAATGTTATGGTTATTTTCCCTAATAATAGACGAGTGCACGGATGGATTTGAGTTCACTCACTCGACAAAAAGTGACACAACAGCGGGGCCCTGCTTACTAAAAATGAACACATATGTGTTCATTTTTAGTAAACAGGGCCCCGCTGTTGTGTCACTTTTTGTCGAGTGAGTGAACTCAAATCCATTCGTGCACTCGTCTATGTACGGTTATTTTGTATTTTGTGGACAAGTTCGACTATTTTGATTATTGTTCGTTTATGGTATTAGTTTACTAGGGTTACTTAATGGCGTGTTCGGGGTATCATCCAAACCATTTGTGGAAAAGTTCGACTATTTGGGTTATCTTCTCTTTTTTTAGACTTTATTTTTGAGATTTTTAGCCGTAGGCTAGTTCATCTCGTCCATGAAAGGTGGGGCCTCAGAAGGAGGACCCCCAGCGGAGTAGTTTTTACAGTGTTTATTTCAACCGAAAATTGGTTCCTGGCTCGATCGTACATTTACACAACATATTAAAGACACAACATTAAAATCTGAATAAGACAGAGCTCCACACCGGGGGAACCGGGAGGGCCCCCACCAGGCAGAGATGTCCCAACAGCCGAAAGGAATTAAAAAAGACTAAACTTTAAAATACAATGCAGCATCCTTTAAAAAACGCATTACGGCCATAGAGGTAACTCTAAGACTAGTAGGTCCCGAAGATACGTGGTCAACTTTTTGGCTCAGCTCTAGTACTGTCTTCGGTCCCAAGCTAATCGATGCACCCCTCGAAACATAGAAAAATCCACGAACCCCTCATTTTATCTGTCAAACTTTCATAGCGAATCAAAACAAACATAGTGTAGTACTAGAATGTTGACTAGAATAGGGAACGTTAATCGATTTGCTTGGGACCAATAGGCTAGTCAAGTAGTGAGCCAATTTAAAATCGTTAGTTTCCACCGGTTGTTACTGCTGCCAGTGTGGAGGGGTCATCACCCAGCATGTCGCGTATGCTATTTGGAAGCCCGTGGAATTCCCGCAGGCTCTGATACTGAGGGCATACGCATAGAATGTGCTCGATTGAGGCTGGAGTTCTACAACCGACGCAAGTCCTGTGGAACGGCATGCCACCGCAATTGTGCGAGATCTTGGTGTGGCCGGTTCTCAAACGCGACGTTATCTTCTGATCCCGCTGGTTCAACTGTTCTGTCCATTTCCTCCTCGTCCCTTTGATCCGTCTGATGAAGAGGAACCGGTTTTGAGCCCACTCTGCGTCCCAAGCTTCCCGTACTTTGCTCACGATTCAGCGCTTGACATCGTGTAACGGTACTTCGTTAGTATAGCGAGGGGCAGATGGTCCTGCCCCAGCCAGAAAGTCAGCTTCAGAGTTGCCTGGTATTCCGCAGTGCCCCGGAACCCAGCAGAATACCGTGTTTGGTGGCGCGGACTTCATCGTCGCCTGTACCCAGGGATGAGTCGGGGCCTCGGATGTCAGGGCTTGTATGACGCTGTGCGAATCCGTGTGGACCAGGATCGGTCGGTTGGAGAGCGTTGTAGCAGCGATGAAGATGGCAGCAGCTTCAGCAAAGAAGACAGAACATTGCGGCGGTAAGCTGCAGCTGGTTGGTGTGATGTTTCCGGCTAGACCGATATCGACCCCGGTCCGAGAGCGAGCTCCGTCCGTTTATCGGTTAGTGTGCGTGGGGTATTTTTCTCCTAATATTTCAGCTACAGTCCTTTTCATGGCCATGGAATTGTCTCCGGCTTTAGATTTTCGGTAATGGTGTTTCCCAGCTTTTGTCTCCATGCCAGTGGACCCTGGCCACTGTGGGGGGAGATCTTTGTTGGCAGCCGTGCGGAGGAGTCTGTTCCCCTCGTCGAGGAGGAAGATCCCTTGATTTCCGGATGTCTTCGAGATGAAAGCAGCGGCTTTGGTTGCGATGGCTGCGGTTATACGGAAGCGGAAAGGCAGACGTAGCTAAAAGCTTATCCGCTGCGATGCAGGTCATCTCCAACCCGTATTGAAGGCGACTGTCGATAATTGCACTCGTGAAAACGGATGCTGCAGTTGTTCGATCTATTCTGTCGGGAAATGGTCCGGATGAGCTTCACTCGGCTGCGGCAATTTTTCTTGACGGCTTGCGAAATGCTGTTCAAAGTTGAAGAATCGGTCAACGAGAGCTCCCAGAACTCGGACGGTCTTCTTCAGCGGTATGGACTGGTCGTCGATTTTGATCGGTGGTCCGCTAATTCTGTGTCGAGAAGGGCAGACATGGCACCTGATGCTTTTAGAGGCTGATAATTCAAAGCCTACTGAGTGGGCCCACCTGGCGACGGCGGAGACTGCCGCTTGGGCTCTCATCCTTGTACGTACTGGCGTGGGTCCGGTGGTGACGATGAGGATGTCGTCGGCGTAGACGAACACAAATATGTTCTTCGGCAGTTGACGGAAGACTCCGTTCATCGCCACGAGGAACAGGGTAATGGCGATAACCGATCCTTGTGGGACACCCGTTTCTTCGGGGAAAAGCCGGGATTTGGTATTGCCGACTGCGACTCGGAATGAGCGGTTGGACAAGAAGTTCTGGATGAAGTGAAGGATGGGTCCGTTAAGACCCCAGTCGATTAGTTGCTTAAGGACGAGAGGCGTCCACGTTCTGTTGAACGCCTTCGATATGTCGAGCGATACTATCTCGATGTGCAGACCACTGTCGTAAGAGTTCTTGAGAACTTCCCCTAGGGTTGCGAAATAGGTGGACGTTCCGAAACCTTGTTGGAAAGCGTGCTGTCGGTGATCAAGGAAATTTCCAGCTTCGAGGTGTTGCTTCAGTCTTCGATTGACCATACGCTCTAGGACTTTGGCCATACAGCATGTTAGCGCTATTGGACAGAACTTGCTGACTTCACGGGTGGCTACCCCGGCTCTCGGGATGGGAACTACCAAGCTTTCCTTCCATACTGCTGGGTACCCGTTAGTGAGCCAGAACTTGTTGAAGAGGTCTAGCATCCGTAGCTGTTCTATGAAATATAATGTAAATTTATATTTATCTATAGCCATTTTAAATCGATAAAATTAAAATCCTTAGCCCAACTATTCCGTTTTCTCCACACACTTGAAATCAAAATCTGTCCTCGGTGAAATATATTCCCGTATAACAGTTCAGTAAACTGAAAATTTGCCAATGCTTCGTTGAACACATAATAGTTTACATAAATTCGGATCAGGTTTTTGCAAAATTTCGGTAAATACAATCTTTTACCAAGCCTTGTTAATAAAAATTAATTCTCGTGCGCCTTTTGTACACTTGAAGTGTGCCTATTGTTTTAGAGATCCTATTTTGCGTTCTTCAACACTTTGTCTTGAAGCTATTGAATAGAAGCATTGTGGAGATGAACTAGTCATAGGCTAAAAATCTCCTTAATAAATAATTAAAAAAAAAAAACGTATATGGGTCTGTGCCTAGGGGTATGAACGGAAGCTTGACGTAGGACCGCTAGTCGGCGGAACAAATATGTTGAGCCTTTAGTTCTTTTAATTGATCAATAATCTATTATCTTAACTCTTTCCGTTTTGGATTCATGGCCGTCATTTCCGTCACAAATGAAACTGCCATTTTGGATCGAAGCGAACAAACTGATGTACTTGGGTATCTCCAGAGACAACGTGCTCAGTTGGCTTTCCTGGCAGCAGCATTACGCAGGTGATCATTGTAGTCAAACTCAGCTGTGTAACGTTCGAAGGATTTCGTTGCCGTTGGTAATGCTTCTCATTCCGATGCCCGTGTCCACTTTCTTGGTCTTTCAATTTAGTTGTGACGACTGTCCCTACAGCTAATGGAATTGCAACTGATCACATTCACTGAATTACAGTCTGTTTTATACTTGCAGAATAGCTAATTAGGCCCCTCCCTTTTGGAGTATTTTTCGTTAGAGCGTTTCTAGTTGCAACTATATGGCAGCATTCACACCAGGTCGAAGGTATTGTCGAAACTAACATGCATTTCCCTTAATTTTCGTTTATCATTATCTGATCCGAGCGGCGCCGGTGGTGTAGTGGTATGCGTGATTACCTCTCACCCCAGCAGGCCTGGGTTCAATCCCAGTCAGCGCCGCCGGGATGTTCTGCATAACATCTCTGATCACGCCTTCCTACGGAAGGGAAGTAAAGCCGTTGGTCCCCGGTTCATGAGTTGATTGATGGGTCGATAGGTAGGGTCCAGGTGTGGGAGCTGCCTTCCTGGAGTCGGTAGCATTGGTACGCAGTACGGAAAACAAATCAAGGAAAAAAATATCTGATCCGAACTTATCATAAAAATTTTGTTTTAAACTATCAACTATACACATGCCGAATAGATCATATTTTACTATTTTTCAGTGAAACAGAAGCCATAACATAAATTCGTATAACAACATGGAAAAAATCTTTAATTAAAATGCCTAGCAACTGATATATGCATTACGATATTAAGCCCGCGAACAAAAAAAAAACCGTTGAAAGACCTGATCTAAATACAAATTAAGCTATCAATCCTCCCAGGATTAAAACATTCCATTCACATTGTCTCCTTTCAGGAAAAACAACCAATCGCAAGTGTGCGAGGAAGCGAAAGCCCGTCTGCAGAATCTCTGCCGTACCCAGTTCGCTACGCTAGCCTGGGAGCTCCATAAGCAGGATCCCTACCAATTTCTCCGTGCCTACACGGCCGGATTGCAGGAATTTATCGAGGCGTACACGTTCTGCGAGTATGTCAACTCGCAGAACATCTCTCACTGGACTGCAATCCAGAAGCAGTTGAAGTACAAGATACCGCCTACCGAAGAGAAGAAAGCAGCGGAGGAGGCAGATGAAGCAGAAGATGCTGCAGAGACTGCCGAACAACAACCGGAAGACGAGATCGACATAAGTTGCCCCATACCTCCGATGGAGTTTGTCCTGGGTGTGGGCGATCTTACCGGAGAAGTCATGAGAAAGTGTATCAATTCGCTTGGTTCGGGCGATGTGGACAGTTGCTTCGAACACTGTCGGTTCCTGCAGGAACTGTACAAGGGCTTCATTTCGATTAGCAATGCCAGAAATCGCGACTTCTCACAGAAGCTGTTCACGTTGCGCCAGAGCTTGTTGAAAAGTGAGAGTGTCTGCTACAACGTAAAAGTTCGCGGTGGTGAGGCAGCCAAGTGGGGCAGCACCGATGACGCTGGATTCGTCGGCATGTCCAAGGACCACCCGGACGAGGATGAAGGAGTTTTCTTTTAATTCAGGTAAATGTTTGCTCTGTGTTGAACCGTTTTTTTTCTCGTCTTAAATGGCGGTACACTTGAATTGGAATAAATTACGTGAAATCAACGCGAAAGAACAAAATTGCACTCATGTTATGCTCAAGTCGAACTTATCAGGTATCCTCCATCTTCGGGGGGCGAGCAAAAGAATTGCGCTTGATAGATTCCACTAACCATTTGATTCCTTCGTCAACACCTTCCCTGGAATGGTAGCAGACAAATCAATCAATAGAAAAATAGAGAATTTCCTAATTTTTCTGAATCACACACTTACCCCGTCAGCGCCGATACTGGCATAACCAAGCAATCTCTCCTCCCAATCAGATGACCTGCCTCCTGGAACACCGGTTTAATTTCTCTCACGCCCATGCAATCAGGCAGATCTTGCTTGTTGGCCAACACGAGCAGCGGAACACCGGATAGGTACTCATTTCCAATCATCCTATCGAAAACGTCCTTCGATTCATGCATCCGATCCCTATCGTTCGAATCCACCACGTAGATAATGGCGTGGGACTCGGAATAATATTTGTCCCAGAGCGATTGCAGTTCCTGCTGGCCTCCCAAGTCCCAAAAACTTAACCGAACTCCCTGGATATCAATCTGCCCGATGTTCAATCCAACTGTGGTGGTGATTTTGCTCGGATTCATTCCACGGTAGTTTTTCGTGAATTTGGTTTTCGCTGCCTCCAGATAGGTCTGTGAAGTAGTGGGTGGGGATTTAATTTAGTCGAGTATGGAATTCAGGTAGTGCCACGCAAAACAACCAAACCGTACCGTTTTTCCAGCGTTGTCCAGTCCTAGGATTAGTATGCAGTATTCATCCTTTTGTGTGAGATATTTGTAGAATCCACTGAGGAGCGTGTACATAATGCTGTATATTTAGTTGTCTGCAGTTTGAGAAATTTTACATCAAATATAATTGTTGAAACAACACGAATCGCAAAAAAAACGATGATGTTTTCTTTCGTGATAAACACTTTGTTTTGATTTCAGACGGCCAGCAAAAAATAGCTGTCAAAGTCGAGTTCTCACTTTTTGTTTTACGGTAAGGGAATTCGGGGTTTTGCGATCCTGCATGAACTTATTCACTAACGGAAAAAAAAAAATATGTTGAAAATTTCCGACTAAGAAAAAAATGTGCATATACTATAGAATATGACATCCCTAATAAAAAAATACCATACCCGAACGATAACCCAAAAGATCGAACTATTCCACAAATGGTTTTGACGATACGCTGAACACGTCGTTAAGCAAAATAACCATACAAATTTTATTAGGGATTGTATGCAAGATATCTTGCATACAATCCCTAATAAAATTTGTATGGTTATTTTGCCTAAAGATGAAATTGGGATGGTTTAAAGATGAAATTGGGTACATAGCAAAAAAAAAATGTAATATCGATCAATGTAATTCAAGCTGATGTATGAAATAATGATGTAATAGCAAAAAGCAGATACAATATTACATCAATGGATGTAATTTTGTTCGCAAAATCGATGTACATCGTACAATGTTATATTACACAACCGATGGATTGACCTGGTTGCAGCAGTTTGGAACTTTTTTTTTGTGTGTATGAGTAATATTACTCATACCCAATTTCATCTTTAAACGCTGGCCAGACTGAGCAGTTATAACGTGTTATAACGGTTATAACGGTTATAACGGTGGTCAAATAATTGCAACCCAGAAACCACCATCAAGATAGCATTATAACATGTTATAACTCTGTAGTCTGAACGTACTATTAGTCGGTCGAATATTCGGATCCCTGAAAAGTAATGGTGTCGCATATTCGGTATTTGGTCAAACGCCGAATAGTATTTACAGGTATTTACATGTATTTACTATTCGGTGCTTCTCTGGTTACGGGCTGTTCATAAACTACGTAAACCGCTTTTGAGTATGTTAAAAAATCTAATCAATAGTTGAGCCATCAAACAATCAACACTGTCCGTCAATTATTAAACAGTTCAAAATGTGTGTTGGAATGGTCACTTAAATTATAGGTAAAAAAAATCATCAATTTGGAGGTTATATTTATTAATGTTCTATAGAACTTTAGACTTCCACATTGCGAACTCCTCTTTTGTCATGACTTGTCATCCTTCCAAACACAAATCTGAATCATCATACGCAAAATAAATGACATGAACATCAAATGTAAGAGTGGATTTACATCCTCTTTATATATTTCTAACGACAAATGTAATGGCAGTACTTACAATGGACTGTAGCGTACAAGCATATTTTTTTTAGAATTAATATATTCATATAAAACCTTCATGAGATGTTTTTCTAGTCGCAGTGCATTCGGAGAAGCAAACGTTGTTCGTCAATTACAGCCAGAATTAGCCACTTCTCCGGGGTAACCGAAACATTTCCGGGGCACCGAAACATTTCCGGGGCACCGAAACATGCCCGTGAGGGCTTGTGTGACCGTGGACTATCAATAAGGCTATAGCGCTTGTCATATTTTTAATTGCAATATTTTTTAAAAAGAGGAAGAAATAATTTTTTTCGAATTTAGCATCGTAGTTCACGGGCTTATTCCGGTTTTTTTTTCGGAGACTTCGAATTTCCGGCATTTTCCAGTTTTTCCAATTTCCCGATTGATTAGTCACCCTTATTATTGTGTTTTTTTCCAGTTCGTACTTTTCTGTTCGTTACTTTAATGAACTTCTAACTAGGAACTGAGCATATTGTTGCACTATTACAACTTATATTTATTTTTTTAAATGATTTTTCATTGCAATTCAAGTAGGAATGGCGAAAAAATGACTCTAGTGACTTTTTGTCGAAAATAGGGATTTTAATTACTATCCTAAAAAAAGTGACCCGCTATCAGCCTTGCTTCGGGAAAGTAGTCAATTCTCAAAAAGAATTAAAACTCGTCGTGCGACTCATAAAACGTCATGATTTTATTAAATTCGGCAGGTAATATATTACACTTAATCTATCTCGGTAAAATCTCTAACAGCCGATTACCTCGGCATTTACTTTTGCTGATATCTCTGCAAAATATCTATTTGTTAGCTGATATCTCAGCAGAATCTTATTTTTGTTAGCTGAGTCTCGGCGATTGATTCACTGAATCTCAGTCAAATATATTGCAGAACTACTCGGCTGTTGGAATCTCGGCGAAAAAAATTAAGTGTGGCAGATAACTTCTGCACTGTTATAAAGACATTTTCAAGGTATACTCCCAGTGATAAACTGAAATTTATTTTTGAAGAATAGAATGCTGCACACTGACGTCACGAATGAACACAATGAACCCGCGTTCATCAGTTTGGCATTCAGTGGTGGTTTGTTTACTTTTGCCTGATAGTCGAATCAAAAGGGAGTCAGAAGTTTAAAAAATAAAAAGGACTAAAAGATATGCTATCCACCTGAGTACTGCGGACTTGCTCGATATTCTTGTCACTTGCGAAGCAGTGTGAACTATAGTCGCTATATTCATTAGGTTCTGCAGCGTGACGTCACGAATGAACTCAATGTTAATAGGCTGAACCTTTTTGACAGTTCAGTGGTTCTGTTCGAAATTGAATATTCTAAAATTACCGAACTTTTACTTGAAAATTGTCGAGGAACAGCGCGATGAAAGGATGTTGCTCGTGGACAATGCAGAAGTGTGGTTTACATCTCACTGCAGTCTGAAAAATTATCGAGAAAATCTACCCAAGAAAAAAACGACTAAGTCCACGTAAACAGTACCACTGAACTGTCATCAGATTGAAGTTAATCCCGACGTTGCAAAACCTAATAGTCTGGCAGATAGAATCTTGGGAACCAATTGAGCTGTCAAATAGCGGAATCAATCGAGCAAATCACGACCAAGAACAGAAAGAGCACATCAGCTATTGTGAACAAATTTTCGGAAACCCTTTTCTCGTGACTCAAGGCTTACCTTCGCAAACTAACACCAAACTTAGGTTGAGGAAAGTTTCCCCTAACCGATGATGCCGGTAATTTGCGTTCGATTGGCGTGGAAACAATAATCAACGTTTTGTTTATAAAAGTTGATAGTACCTTTTCAATTGTTGGTCTAAAATATATTGAATTGGTTCCGCTTTTTGATAGATCGAAATTCTATCCGCCAGACTATGAATATAGCGACGAGTGTGAACTATCAAAATGGGAGCCAAACATGTAGCAGCAACAAATGTAGTTACTGTTCTTATTTATCGTCAAGCATTGTAATCTCATAAAAACCATCCATAAAACATTCTTAATTTACGAAAAAAGGCAACAAACATCGTACTAAGTGATGAAAGTTTAAAAACAAGCATAGTTTTTATGACTCAGTTGAGTTTTCAATTGCAATAAATCAAACTGTTGCAAAAAAACCAGCAATATTTTGCTGGATTTTTCCGAGCTGAAAGTCCAGCAATCCATCCAGCAAAGTGTTTTTGCTGGACAACCAGCAAATTGATCTAGTGTCAATTTGACAGCACCCAACTGTTAAATCAGCAATGTTTACTGTTTTTTTTTCCAGCAAAACGGAAAGTAAATCATTTTGCTAGAATTACCGCAATATTCGATGTTTTATATATATTCATTTGTGTTAGAAGTTTTAAAAACACATTTTATTACATATGCACTATTTCATGTTAATATAATACTAAACACCGGTTTCTTCAAATTGATTAGAATTTCGAGCCAAAGGAAAAAAATAAAGTCTTATTGAAGAACTTTTGATGGGCCTCAATGGGTGAGTTTTCAGGTGAAAGGACTGCAAAGATGAAAAGAAGTGAGTATTTCAAGTACGCCGAAAAGGATAGAATACTTACTCCACGATTCCAGTCAAATAGTCATCCCAATGATAATTCGCAAGCCGAACGCTTCTTGGACTGCAAAATACTAAAAAAAAACGCAAACCAGTTATTTACCAACCAAACTGCCTGACACGCCTGAATTTGACATTTGTTGCAATTTACTGATTTACTTGATTTTGCTGGAAGTGATCCAGCAATTCGTTTTGCTGGAACTTAATAACAAAATTTGGTGTGTACCCAGGGGAGGACCCGGATACGACCACCCATGTGTGTCTAGAGTATCGCACGAGCTGACGAGTGCAACGTGAAAGACAGTAGGTGTATAGACTAGGGGGTTGATCCCTAGATAAGCCTTCTTAGCGGAAGGCACAGCCTATGCACTGAACAATTACAATTACAATTCTGAAGATTTCCTGCAAAAAGATGATGCTCGATGCAAGTAGATGCGACAAATGAAAGAAGATTTTTCGAAGATTGATTCGCTAGTGTGAGATTTGTTGAGCATCTTAACTTGAGATTTAGATGTGTCGCCCCCTCGGTAGGAGTGTCATTTTTTCATGTATTTTATCCAGGCTTGCAATTGCTCATTACAGCTAAAATGCTTTTTTTTCGGATTTATGAAACTATGCGATATTTTAATAGTAATTCTTATTTACAATATACAATATAGGAGGCAAAGTATTTGTATGATACATAAAACTTGTCAATTTAGCTTTCAGAGGGTCACAATAGCAATTAGCTGTAACGATGAGCAACGCGATGAGCGAGCAATCAGCGATCATAAAATCGCTAGTTGTGACCTTCTGAAAGCAACGTTGATAAATTGTGTATGTCATACACAAACTTTACCACCCATTCTTGCTTCTTACAAATAAAAATTATCATTATTGTATCTCATAGTTTCATAATTCCGAAAAATAGCATTTTAGCTGTAATGAGTAATTACAAGTCTGGGTTTATGTATCATACAAATATTTTACCTTCTATTCTTGCATATTTTAAATAAGAATTACCATTAAAATATGAAATAGCTTCATAAATCCGAAAAATAGCATTTTAGCTGTAATCAGCATTTGCAAGCTTGATTTTTATCAAAAATCCCCATACAAAATTCAAACTAAAAGCGCCAGCTCATCCTACAACCAAATGAGCTAAAACTTTAAGAGAATGGTTTTCTCACCGGCACAAATCTAGAGGTTGGCCCGTGGAAAATTGAAACTTTTATTTTCGTACACACAAAGAAAAGTCGTTGCTAAAATTAATAAAACCATTGGTAGAATAAAAAGTTTGCATTGGTTCTTTTTGGTAGAAAGCGGTTGGCTTTCAAAACAAAAGTCAGCCAACTGTTAAAGCAAAAGTTGACCGCTCACTACTTTCAAAAGTTAAAACTTTCAAAATAAATTGTACTACTGTCAAATTAAAAGCTCGGGAGTGGTAGATTTAAAATTGGCATCTTTTCAATTCAAAACAAAGTTTCGGTTTGAAAATGTGATATAGTTGAAACCACAAACGAAGTTACAGACGACTAACTGGCGAAGAAATCCATTAAAATAATGTGGTTCACTGTAATAGAATTTTCTTGGAAGCTTGTGCCATCATCCACCAGATGGGTTAGTTTTTTTGTTTTGATTTGAACAAAGTTCATTTTGTGTACAATGATTCTTTGACAGTGTGCAAAGAGTGCGTATCATTTTGTCATTTTTTTATGCATTTCAGTTTTGAGTAGAGTGAATGAGATAGAACCAAAACATTCTAGTACATTTGGTGAAAATGCTAGTTCAATCTAATAGTAGTGTTGCCATGTGGTACAGTCCAGTAGTAGTGGTGTTGCCGTGTGGTACACTGAAAAATTGCAATAGCAGGTTAGTCACCAAAGTTTTCGAGCCGCTCCGTCTGTCACTTCGTTTGTGGTTGAAACAATAAATAACATTTTAAATAGAAAAACAAAATTTTGAAATTAAAAACATGCATTTTCATTGTAATATCACTTTTTCATTTTAAATTCTAAACAATATTTAATTTATGCAAAACAGATCAAAAATGTATTTATTTTCATTTCCTTTTAAACTAATTAACAATTATGTAACGAAATTCACAGATAGACACAGGTAGACATCCCGGTAAGTGAGGGTTGATACGAGGAACACATAATCCAGACACTGACAAGGCAAGCTTGGTATTGTTTTCCATTTGCAGAAAGTACCAACTGGTGACGGATTCTACGGGCAGCGGGTTTTCGTCCTTCTCCCAATCAAAGCTGAATTTTCGTTTTTCCGAGGCTTGTAGTAGGGTTTGATCCTTCTCCGACAGGAATTTTATAAGGTCGATACCGAAACCTGGCGTGATGTCGTCCTGACAGATTTCATAAGCTGAAATCTAAAATCTAAAATCCAATAACAATAACAATGAAAATAGTTTACTTACCATTTGGAATGTCAATTTCACATGAGTCTCCACGAGGGTCTCTAGCAGCGAATAATTTCGGAATATCTAACTAATAACAGTTCAGTTTCTGGTATCCCACAAAAGAACATGACTCTTGTTGTAGCTTCTTATCTGGATTTCATGTTTACAGCGGCCAGACTAGTGAAAAGGGCGGCATATAAGATTCCAGTGCAGCCAGTAAAAACATCGCTGAGGGGTATTTTTGACAGTTGAACAACTTTTGTTTTAAAAATATGTACTTTTAAAATCACGAGTCAAAAGTAAAAGAAAAACTTTCAATTAAAAAATCCAACTTTTATTTTGAATATTTTTGCTGTTGAAACTAAGAATTTTGGGAAAATTTTAAAATGAAAATGCATTATTTTTATTAATACAATTTTCGTTGTTTGTGTGTATTAGCCGCAAAAATACATGCCTAACATTTTTTACGTGAAATGTAAGAACCTTATTGTAACTAAAATCAAACACTTCATCAAGAAGTAACTTTTGGTTTTATATACAGTTAATATTCTGATTGGTTTAAGATAAATATGAATCTACGTCTCAATTTCACGAAGTTCGTGTACCTGATGAGTTTAAAATTTCGATTATCTTCAATGTCCACAAAATTTAAATCTTGGATCATTTTTATCAATGTTCGAGAACTCTAGTTTTATTTTGAGTAATTACGTTGTATAAAATCTGTCAGTTCCGGAAGCTGGGATTGTTTGTTCATGATCTCGATTTATTTGTCATCAAATGTTGATATATTTTCCTGGTTCCTTGTAATGTTTTAGAAGTCCAAGATTTTCATTTTTTCCCTATATCACAGGATCCACAGTTTCGTCAAAGTTTTGGAACGAAGTGAAAATTTCATATGAAATACTCGATTTTTCGCCAGCGTGAAAAATTTAATTGACAAAATTTCACTTCGCTTGGAACTGTAAACAGATATGATCACGCGATTGTCTGTTAACTCGGCAGCAACCGTTGTGTGGTCGTCCTCATTGTTTTTTCGTTAGCAGTTCTTTCAGTCGATGCGTCGACGACTTTGGAAAGCAACCGTTTCGTGATGAGTGTGTGAGTGATGACCACGTTTTGCGTCCATTGCTGCAATGGAAGCGCTCTGACCGACCCCCGTTGGTGAATCTGCCATACAATGAAACCACTGGAAGCGGCTCCCGTTCTGGTGGAGGAGGCGTATTGGATAGTGGAAGATATTTATACTTGTATTTAAATAAATGATCAATAATGTATTTTTAAAATGTCGGAAATTTTACCCAAAAAATTTGCTTTGCTTTTTTTATCCAGTTTGTTTATTTGCAAGGCTCAATCGCGTTAGCTTTACGGAGCCGATAATTGATTGTTCATTGGTAGTAACAAAATTAACTTAATTCTATGTCTAGTAGGAGTTGGGCCGAATACTCGCGGCTTACCCGAAGTTGGAGGGGTACATTGTCGAAGGATAGGATCAGAGGAGGAGCTTGGGGGTGGGGTTTCGTTGTCTCATCAGAGCGTTGTCGCCAGTATGAACGGTAGTGCGGTTCTATAGAAAAAATATCTTTGATAATGTAAAAAAAAAACCGTTGGTAGAAATAAAAGTTTGCATTGGTTCTTTTTGGTAGAAAGTACTTAACTTTCAAAACGAAAGTCAGCCAACTGTCAAATCAAAAGTTTAACATATTAGTAATTTTAAAAGTTAAAACTTTCAAATCAAATTGTAGAACTGTCAAACTGAAAACCTAACCCTTTTAGATAGACGTTAGAAAAGTGTTGCTTCAAAACACGGGTATTTCTTCGCAATTAGTATAAGTTTTCATCTCAATTACAAATTATTTTTAAATTAATTGCTTTTATGATGCATGCAGAAAATAATCAATATTTATCTCGGAACAGATAGTCGTCTTCGGCGGATAATGAAGGTTTTCTCCTTAATGCGAGGTTTCAACGTGCAGCGGACTTGGTCGAACGGAAGTGCATCTTGCTTTCGTTGCTGGTCGACGATAAGCACCAAAGCCGGGTATGGATCGGGCGATCGGGCGTCTGAATTTTACCAGTAGGAAAGAACGGAGTCTCTAATCCCTATTGATAGCCACCAAAAACGTCTCGGCTCCAACGTCCCACGATGCTGGCGATCTGAAAAATTCTCAATTTCATGTTCAAAATCATCCTCGAAATATGTAGACAGTAGTAGCAATCTTACCTTCTGCGAAAAACTCATTTTTTTTTTCACTGACTCCGGTACCGGAATCGGTTCCACGGGTTGTGGAATTTCGGAAGTGCACAAAGCACAATTGATTTTCTGCGGTTGGATTCTAGTATCTTACCTTATATGCCCTATTAGATTTTTGGACAATGACAATGAGCTTTTCAGGAGGTCATTTTGACATTTCAAGACCAACAATTGAAACGGCCTCAACTCCATTTTGTAAACAAACTCTGTAAGGCCATTTTCTCGCGAACCAAAGTCCGCTAATGCAAACCGACAAAATGAACAGGTAGGGGAAATTCTCCTCTACTCGATTATGTGTTAGGTTTGAGAATGTAGGTTTCGGTTCGCGAGAAAATGGCCTTACAAGGTTTGTTTACAAAATGGAGTTGAGACCTTTTCAATTGTTGGTCTTGATTTGTACAATTTTTGTTTTTAAAATGTGAACTTTTAAAATTACGTGTCGATAGTCAAATAACTTTCAAATGATAGAAAATAAATTCACTTTGAATATTTTCGTAGTTGAAACTACCAAATTCGAGAAACTTTTAATTTTAATTTGTAGCATTTTTATAGATACCATTTTTGTTTTTTGTTTGTAGCTTCGTCTTGAGTTCGACCGGTTATGGTGACAATATAGTACAAACAAAAACCATTAAAAAGAAACGAAAGACAAAGGAATTAAATTCTTATACTAGACATTTGCAGACATGTCCGTGGACTTCGGAGGTATTCAACAGTCACTCTATGGCGGCGTCATTATCCGTACATTGTCAAACTACGTGATCGATGTCATCGTAACCGTTTCAACACCGACAGATGTTGCTGTCCACGAGATTTATTCTATGGAGATGCGCATTTAGCGAGTAGTGGTTGGACTTAAGTCACTCATCACGCGTATGAAGTCACGATTTAAGCCCAAGCCTTTAAACCACGCTCTCGAAGAAACATTAGGAATAATTGAATGTAACCACTATCCAAGATTTCCAGTGTCCCAATCGGTTTGCCAACTCGAAAGGGTACTCTGACGCACTAAATGGTAAAATTCATCGTGTGAAATTCGTCTGTCATAAAATGCGCCTTGTGCAATGAGAGGAGACCAATACTCAATATTTTTTTTTATTTCCCCCTCATGATGATTTTCAGAAAATTTTAGTGGACGGGGGGGTTGACAAGAAAAAAGCTTATGATTTTTTCCGGCCTTATACGTTTATTCCTAAGAGTCTTATAATAAAATTTAAACCCCGAAAATCACATTTCAAACTGTATCCAATAACGTGTCTGTACTAGAGAGGGTCTAGTATAAGAGCGGAGAGCATTCAAAACAAACTGCCTTGGCAACCTATGCCGAAGTGATTTCTAGTAACACCGCCAATGTAATCAAGATAGGCGCTGCTCGATTGGCTCTGGCTTCAACAGTTCGTTTGGCTCAAAACCAGCCAATCCGCTCCTCTCTTATGCTATACCCTCTCTAGTCTGTACTACTCCCACCGTCTACCAACACTAAAACATAATAATCGTAAGGTCGGACTTGTCCACATCGATCGTCGTCGGTGGCGGTTCCTTATTTATTTCATACTGTCGCCACAGCAGCAGTCCAACATTTACACTATGGAGCAGAACCGAAATAAACAGAACCCAATAGCTCGCTCCCAGCGAGGCGAGGTTCGCCGAACTGTACGGTGCTTCCGGTGTAAGCGTATCCGTGATGGCAATGTTGGCACTTAACTGCGATCCGTACAAGGCACCCCACAGTATCATCGTCAGCACAGTTGATCCTATCACTATTCCGTTCCAAATGTACAGTCCAAACACGCTGAAGAACGGCTCGACCGGATTGAAGAGTACATTAATGATTGCAAAGCTAGCCGAAGCGCCGGCAAATATCATCGCTATTCCAAGGAATATCACCGTACTTAACCAGAGACCTGCATTGATAAACTCGTCCTTGGGAGTTGCTGCTCGATCGGAATTCGAAGGTTTCATCTCGTAGTCTGCCATTGTGATGAGCGACTTAGCGTTCGATATAGGACATTCGGCTGGCTTATTTCCGGCCAACAATGCAACGACTTCTGCTTCCCGCATCGCTTCCTCCTTCTGGCAGCTGTAGACGCAAACATTATGCTCGTACACACAGATAACTGATAAAGCAAAATATTTCCAATATTATCTACACAGGTGCAAGGGCTATTGAGCGACCACTTTATGATGAGTGGAGCCGATAAGACAACAAATGTGTTGCGTTGATAGTTTACTCAGTGACATACCTATTAGATCGTACGGTACTGGAGTGGCTAGAACGTTCCTGGTTAGAGATCCAGCGAAAAGGCCGTATTGTATTTCACTGTTCTTGTAGGCCGTCCTTTCGCTAGCCTGCGAGACCACCTGTTGGGGGCAAAGGGAAAGAGAGTTCAGCGTTTAATATTGTTAGGTTATCTACCAGACTCTTCGGGCTCTTACCCAGTATGGAGTGCAAAATGCTACGATGAGAGTGGCCAACGAAAGGCACGACAGGACGAACGCTGCAAACAGGATATTCCACTTGGTTTTAGCCATATTGTGTGAGTTACATTCTAGACCAGGTAAACTGGCACATCACTTTGAGCTACGCTCAAGCAAGGATTCCTTCCTGTACGAAGCTGAAACAGATACTGCGATTTGATACTACTTGAGTCATACGCCGTGGAAGTGTTCACATAAATTGAAAAAAAGAATGGCTTCGATAAGGAAGGTTGCATCGCGAATAGGGGAGACGAATTGGCTATCAGTCTGATAACGGGTTGTGATATTAGTAATTGATTGACCCGTATGTGTGCGATTAAAGATAGTGGATACAGCGGTCTGCGGAATGGCAGCGCAACGCAGAACAGTGTAATTTCGGGTTGTTCTAGTCAAAATCATTGTTTTAGTTTTGTTTTTTAAAAGACGATTTTTAATTCAAAAATAAAATTACAAGTTCGATTTCACGATTGGCAATTCGACGCATTGTCCTTAACCTAAGCATTAAATTCTAGATTAAAAAAAAATGATTTGTTCATCTTTAGTTCCAACGTATGGCTAACTTGAGTTACTTCAGCGATGAGTTCGTAGAAAATTACTTTCTAAATTCAGATTGTTTTGTTTTACCAGAGTATGAAGTTCAAAATAATAACGGTAGATTCACATCTCACCTTCAAGGCAGTATCGATTTCAGTACAGCATGATCGCCCCTTGAGTCTTCTCGTCGGTGGGCACTTCCAGCACTCGGTTCCGTTCCCGCTTCTCAATGGTGGTGGCTACAATCAGCAGCGTGATGTTGATCATTACAATCACTATGCCAGCGACGACAAAGTAGAAGCTGGTGCTCAGCGAAGCTAATCCTTTGCTGTACCAGTTGTTATTTCGATCATCCGTCAATAGAACATTGTGCTGGAGATGTTGGATGAACTGGAGTACCCAGCAGGCGAACGATATGATTTGCGAAATCCCCGCGAGGATATTACTGGCATACAGGACCACCATCGTACCGGTTTTTTTCGATGCCGATGAGGATTTCAGAACCGAAGCTACAGCACCAACGGCACCGCCCAACGCTCCCAGGCCGGTGCCAATGGCTGCTCCGAGCCATAACCAATAGCTCATAACGTCCGGTTCATCGCGGAGGACGGCGAGTACTGGAAACAGAATCGGAAAATTAGTCAGTTACTGTTTAGTGATCGATATTTATAGAGTAAACTGCAGAACATTATTCCAAAAATTTGCTGGATTCAATAGTAGGACCATTACCCTGAATGCTATTTTCCGGAATAAGTCATTTCCAGTTCATTTCGATGGCATAATTTTTAATTCATATTTACACAGGACTTGGGTTATGCAACGAATGAGACAACTACCCAAATAACCACCAAGCCTGTTAGCCCGATAACGGTCCTTTTTTGTTATTGTTATTCAGGGTGTCTACTACCTGGAAAAACCTGGAAATCCGGGAATTCACAGGGAATTTTATTTTTTCTGGAAAAACCTGGAATATTCAGGGAATTTTGGTTCCACTCAGGGAAGTTTCCAATTAGGGGAATTTACGTATTCTCGGCAACCTAAGCAGCGACCTTCTTTCTATAGCCTTTTTCTCTATGGAACGAACACATATGCAGTATTGGTTTGTTTACAATCTTTTGCTGCCAGCTGCTCTAACAATTTCAGTCGAAAGAATTGTCAAAAACTGTTTTGAAACGCTTTTACAAAGCTCCAATCTTCTCTAGTGAGAGCGAGTATTGTCGGCAACCAGTTTTTCTTCGGCAACCGTTCCATTTGAACTGCATGTAAATCTGCTGTTCTATTATCGGCAACTCGAAATCAGCTACAATTTGTAGTGCGTGTGTTTCATTTCAAGAAAACCCTGCTATATTGCTTTTTCTCAGTGGTAAAAATATAGTCAAATTGAAGCTGAAAGCATAAAGAATCGTTTGCATGCATTCAGCGAAGTGTTTTCGTAAGAAAATCCAGTGAAAATAGTGTTTCAATTTGGGTTGCCGAAAATAGTCTGTCATGCCGAAGCCGTCATTTCCCCTATCACTTCATTCGTAATTCAAAAGAAGTTTTTCGTTCAGTTTCTCGAAACGTTTCTTAAGGACACTGAACTTGACAAGCATCTGACAAGCAGGTCTGAGAACCTACATAGAATTTTTTGAGCTTCAGAGAGGGTCGGAGATCAACTGAGAAATTTGTTGAGCTTCAGAGTAGTTCGTAGATCTTGAGAACAGAACTGCAAACAAATTAAAAGTAATTAAAAGAAATTCATAGAAACAAAATCACAAGAGAGGTCGTAGATCTTCAGATAAATGTTCAAAGAAATTTTCAAAACTTCAAGCAAGCAAAAATAATTTCAAATTGATTTGTAAAACTATAAGCGAAATTTTGCAAATCTTCAGGGAAATTCGCATAACTTCAGACAAGTCCAAGAACCTACAGTGAAATATAAAGTATTTCAAAGAAGTTTGGAGATCCTCGAAACATTATTCAACATCAGAAAAGTTCGTAGATCTTCAGAACAAAGCTACAGAACTTTGAAAAAAATTACAGGACTTCTGAAAAAACACAAGAATCTCAAAAATGTTAATGGATCTTCAGTAAAAATTGCAAAACTTCAGGGAAGTTCGGCGATTTAAAAAAAAAAAATTACACGATTTCAAGAAAATTTGTAGGAGACATTTTAAACTTCAAAGTAGCTCAAATATTTTCAGATAAATTTGGACAACTTTAGGTAATCTTCAAGGAAATTTTCAAATCTTCAGGATAACCCGAGAGGAATTTACAAAACATCAGAGAAGTTTGCAGATCTACTGAGAAATTTATTGAGCCTCAAGTTTTTTTTTTTTGTAGATCTTGGGAATAGAGCTACGGAGCTTAAGACAACTTTACAGAACTTTAAAGATATTTGCAGGAATTTGACAGAAAGTTTCACGGTTTCACACAAATGTGAGATCTTCAGAAAAATTCGTTAAATATCAGAAAAGCACCTCAATTCCAAAAACAAATCGCAGCGAAGTACAAAAGTACAATATTTTGCAGAACTCCATGGAAGTCGGAAATAGATAGATCTAAAGAACTTCAGAGAAGTCCGTAGACCTTAAGAGAAGTCTGTAGAACGTCAGAAAGTTCGTACGTTTTTAGAAAAAATTGCAAAACTTCAGCAAAACTCACACGATCTTTAGATCAAGAATCCACAAAGAAATTTAAAGAACTTTAGAAAAGTTCGGAGATCTACTGTGAAATTTATTGAACTTCATGGCAGTTCGTAGATCTTTAGAGCAGAAATAAAGTACTTTAGAAAAATTTACAGAATTTGAAATAAATATTAGGAACTTCAGAAAAGTTCAGAGGGTAAATCTACTCAAAAATTAGCAGATGTTTGAATAAATTTTCAGAATTTTACTGCGGTTCTTGGATTTTGAAAGACTTTTACAGAACTTCAGGTAAGTTCACTGATCTTTAGAGATATTTGCACAGCTTCAGAAAAATTAGAAAAACTTCAGAATACTTCCTAAAACTTCCGGAAAGCTCAAAAATTTCTATATAATCTTTTAATCTTTAAAATCTTAATCTTTTAGAAAATTGTACAGATGTTCAGAGATATTTGCAGATATTCATTGAATCACGAAAATCTGCAGAGAAAATTACAGAACTTTCGAGAAGTTTGTAGATTATTAGAAATTTTGTGAACATCAGATTTAATTGTTGATCTTCAAGGATCTTAAATCTTCAGGGATTCAGGAACTTTGTAGATTTTTAGGAAAATTTGCAGAACTTCTGAAGAACACACAGAACTTCAAAGAAATCTGTAGAACTACCGAGAAATTTGCAGATTGTCAGGAAAGATTGTTGATCTTTAAAGAAATTTTACCGGAGAACAGAAACAAAACTTCAGGGGCGTCAGAAGTTTTGAAGACCTTGCAAAATTGAGTTGTTAACAGAAATTTTCAGAACTCAAGGAATCAGGTATATCTAGTGAGAACGTTTCCCACTAGCTTGTCTAAAGATGGACAAGATGAGCCAGATCCCTGCCGGTGTTCCTCCTGAGCAACAATTTCCTACTCCACAAAGTTCACCTTCTCTTTCTCATTCATGAGTAATTCATGATGGAAGTATTTACTTTTGTTTCCTGATACAGTTTTGTTTTGAAATCTAAATTGTCAGTTCTTTCGACATGTGCAAGCAGTGTGAACACCAGCAAACAGGGGGGTTCGACAAAGTGTGTCGAAAGTAAATTCGAGCAGATTTTTCACTATGGCGGCGGTCGAAATCAGACCAAGAAATCAGATAGTCTAAACGGACCTTAAGAGATTTTAGACATGTGAAACCATGATTTATTCTGTCTTGATCTTCCAAACAGAGTTGGACTCAAACATATTATCTAAATAATATTTTGTTATTGAAAGCATATTGTTATCAAATTGATATATCAAATTTTTTTTATCGAAATAGTATAGACAGGTTTCTTACTTGTATTTATATTCTTGAATTAAAAAAATACTACACAAATACAAAATAAAGAATGTAATATTGATTGACGTAATGCATGCAACTGTATGAATAACTAATGCGATTGCAAAAACGAAATACAATATTACACCCATGGATATAATTTCTTTTCGCAAATTATGTGTAGGATAAATGCACCAATAGTGGAGGTACTTTAGTGCAATGTGTTCCTATGGTGGCTTATAGAGTCTCCCTAAGCCGCTATAGAAGCACATTGTACTAACGTACCTCCACTATTGGAGCATTTACTAAACATAAATTGTTCAAATTAATATTAAACAACCTATGTGCATCTGTTCTGCTGTAATATTCAATATTTTTTTTGCTGTGCCGACTTATAAGTTTAAACAATCGAAAATAACATAAATCAATAAGTACAATAGTACATAAAAGGGATTCCAGATGGATAAATAGATAAAATAATAATGTGTATAATTTGTATGCAACTGGAATTTTTTTCATCCGACCTGGAAAAATCTGGAAAACTCAGGGAATTTGATTCCTTGGATTGGGTAGACACCCTGTTATTGTTATTGCTCAGTTCACACCCTGGCAGGCTGCTGCCTACCGATCTGCACTTAAGCCAGGCATGAACCTACGGAAATTTAGTCTTTACGACTTTCCTTTCACTAGCAGGCTTTTTGGTCCCACTAGCGTCCGATTAGGGGATAGTAAGAGATTAAAAGAATAAAGAAGAGAGATAGAGAATTTTGTTGTTTTGCTGGAAAAAAAATTAAAAAAAAATACACGCCGGCTTGTTGTGCAACATCAGGTTTGTTCGCTTTCATTCCGTTCCAAGGGGCAACGTCCATCGTCGTCGTACTCAAATACCTGGGAATCTCCAGAGGTGCACAGGGCCAACGTGAAAGACTTCCATTCTGGGCAGCTGCTTGGCCTGGGCCCAGGTCAAATTCCTATCGGCTTGCTTAATTTCCTTGTTGACGCTCCGCCGCCTAAGTATTTGATTTGCCTTTGCTGCGATGTTCTGGCGCATTTAATTCATAATCAAACGCTTGCCTGCAGACTTCGTTTCTATTGCTATCGGCTTCTGATGACATTTACATCTGAGATCCATTTGTGAGGCCACCAGCCACAAGTTATATACCGCAGGCAGCGGTTGATGAGACCTGCAGCTTTTGAGTGTTCTCCACTGATGCTGCACAGATTCCACGTTATAATCGAAGTTTCGAATTTTGGTACGTTGACCAATCTGATTTGATCTCCGCTTTTGTGTAAATGTCATATTATCATCGACCTTATTACCATCACCTTAGTGTGTGACATCAGGTGTACGCTCCTCTGTGTTTTCGTTACCAATGCAGTTTATTTGACACGTTTGTCTCATTCCCGTATGTCTCAATATTATTCTTGCTGAACCACCGTCAAACCCACTATCCAGAGGCAGCGAACCACCTTAACACCTGAAATTATACAACAGCTCCAAGTCATGCAACAGGATCATTTCGTGCCCCATGACAACTTGATCCAGTTGCTTCCAGGTTCATTGTTTTGGCGCCAGCCGGGAGAGACTTGGTCCTGTACCAAATGCTTTCCTTGTCTCCATTCCGCTCAGCTACTCGCAATTGATTGTGATATAGTGGGCGGAATATTACAATGTGAGACAATTCAATGCAGA